GAAACAACGGAAGCGGAGGCGCTTGGGAAACCGCCGCGTAGGTTGGGTCAACCTCATTAATGCCGAATGAAGCACCGGCGGAGCCCTCGAGGTCGTCCGTACGGGAAAGCGAAATACCAATGAAGTTGCTTTGCCCAGGTGTTTGATCGAAGATGTTGAACAAAAACGTTTCGCCGAGATTCGGATCCATCCCTTTGTTTTGGAAAGTCCTCATAATTGGAGATACTGCCACAGCATTGAAAGAGAGCCCGAGCAGCCCATCGAGGCCGAGTAATATTCCGCACCGTCGTGGCGTTATTGAAGGCTGCATCAATTTGCGTTGGCTGTGGTCAATTGGCAGGTGGGTCGAGCACGCACCTTGATCATCAATTGACCTCCGAACTGCACCGATGCAAATCCTATGGTGCCGTTTACATCTCCGCCAAGAAACCCGTCGCTGATGGGTATTCCTGTGTTGTTAAACGCAAAACCTCCGCGTGGAGCGATCCTGAGTCCGAGGATTGCCGTCAGTACAACGCGGACAGTTCGGAGTGAACAGACCACAGATCAGAGCTTCCGGTATCAATAGCGACCCTGAAATCTACGACGCGGCTGAGGGGTTATATTTGAGTAAACCGAACGAAAATGTCGTACTTCGTCCATTGACAGTGATATTAGTCGCATACTAAACAGAGCTATGATAATGAAGACACCAAAGGGAAAATAAAATGACTCACTCTGACGTCGAGCCGATCTGCCGTCCCCGTAAGTAAACCTTGCATTGGAGATTGCGTCTAACGTCGCTCCTGTTGGCTTGTCCCGGACAAGAATGGAAGAAACTCGCGTGCTCTGCACCACGAGTCCACATGATAGTCGTACGCTGACAGCGAGGAGAAGGGCCAGCGTAGGAGACCACATGGTGGAGAAAGTGAATGGAGGGAGCGTCGTGAAGGCAGCGAGCGAATTTATAGTAAATCAAGAGCACCCACTGGCGCTAGTAGTACCCGCTATCTAACGGCAGTGTTTGTTAGGATAATAATGTAATGGCCAGGTTGAATTGAAAGATGGATACCTTAGATGATTACGAAGGAGGAAGGCTGTCCCCGGGATGAACACGCGCAGGTGCAGGAGATTGGCGCGGCAACCCGACAGCATCACACATCCATCGGCCGGCACTGCAGCGAGTCCAATGCACCCCATACCAGTTCCGGGATTTTGACTGGAGGTGAATGGGAAAGAGAGTCTCTTCTACTCCGTCTGAGATGTGCGTACTGGGGCAAGCATGCTGCGAGTAACAGATAAACATCGCGCTATGTTCAACCAGGCGGGAGCCTGAGGTCACTGACCCAAGTCATCACGAAGTTCGAACCTGTATACAAGCACCCGCTGAAGCAGATCACATTGATTTCTTTGCCGCGACTGCTGTGGAATAGCGGCTGTGAGACCGCCAGTCCTACATAGCCGAGTCGTCAAGTCGACCTTTACCTTGCCTTTACCACCGCCGACCGGTCAGACTCAACGAGTCACGAGAAATCAACGAGAAATACTAGTCTCGCGCTAAACCATTTAACCAACGGAGGCGGTACGATCTTGGTACGATCCGGTGTACGAGAATGAGCGCTTTTGGAATCGGAGTCGCCAAGCAGCGTGGTCGACAGAATACAAAGCAAAGCATCCATTAGTAGCGCATCACAAGCGCATCATCATGACAGCCAGAAATCGCCAATCATGATTCATGAGTCATTGACAGACACGTTGCAAACTCCGCCCAACTCCGCCGGCAACTGCCGGAAGAGTACTTACTGCGTCTATGTAAGATGTTTGCCCTCTAGGCTTCTTTTTTCCCTTGGCACTTTAACACTGAAAGTACTGAACTTGAATGCACTCGTTTGCTTCACAGCTTCCAGAGGTGGTTCATCTTCGCTTGCCATCAGAGTGTTGTAGGCGGATGTTTGGCCTGATATCTCCGGTCTCCAGCTTGCGTCCTCCACCATCTTGCCACCATCATCGAATATTCAGTGAGTGGATACAATTCACCATTCACAAAACGCTCACTGTCCGTAGCATGACCCAACCCTGTCACCACTGCGGAGCGCCGTCTTTGACACTCAGGCTGCTCGCTCAGGAATTCGAATCGCAACCAGCAGTCTCCTCTGAGCTGACCCATCTGCTGAGAAGCAACGACCCGCCGCTTGAATCCGAGCTCCCATCCATCCGTGAGGCCATCGACGATGGAACGGACAGGATCAGGGTGCTCGATGCGCAGATTGGTTCGCTGGAGACGCATATTCACGATTTGCGAGCCGCACTTTGCTGGTACCAGAGCGGGCGCGACGAGGTCGCGCAAAGCGTTCGCCGACACCAATCCGTCATATCTCCGATCCGGCGTGTTCCCGCCGAGCTCATTTGCGAGATCTTTGTCGCGGCGTCGACGAGCGAGGATGGGATGGCCAAGCCGCCTTGGTATCTCGGCCAAATCTGCAGATCTTGGAGAAACTACGCTGTCTCATATCCAGTTCTCTGGGCCTCCCTCACCGCCGGCCCTTCTGTGGCTCTGACACTGCGGAGGTTCAAAGAACAACTCTCGCGGTCGGCCAATGCACCTCTCGATATCCATTGGCGATGCGCGGACTGTCATCCTGAACTTCTTGGTCTATTACTCCCTCTTTCTTCGCAATGGCACAATCTGCGGTTCGACGATTGCGGACTCGAGGATTTCGGCTGGCTTCACTCTGTCGATGGTTGTCTTGATCGATTACAGCGAGTTGAAGTGCACTCCACTGCCGCTGAGATTCAGATTCCTGACGTCTTTTTGACCGCTCGGAATCTACGCGAAGTCATCCTCACCACCCAAGGCTTCTCGGAGTCCCCAGACATCGCGATTCCTTGGCAACAGATCACCCACTATCATGGAACATATTCCCCCGCACGACAGCTGGAGATTCTGAGGGCGGCAGCTCCCACCCTGTTGGAGTGTGCTGTGGGATTCACTGGATTCACGAGCGACGAGTTCGATAACGAGCCACCCATCGTAGCACTGCCTAACTTGCGTCGGCTGTCCTCGCAATACGTCGCTGTCCTCCCATATCTCGCAGCGCCAATCCTTGAAGAACTGCGTTTAGAACTCCTCGAAGAGACGATCAGCCCTGTGGGCCCTTTCATTCGTCGCTCCTCCTGCACACTTACAAGGCTTGCCCTCATCGAATGCCGAATTGACTCCGGGCTCATGTCCCTCCTGGGGGCTCTTCCGACTCTCACATCACTCCTGCTAGATTTAGAGGATGACTGGCATTGGATGGGCACTGAGTGGACCACTGCCATGTCTATATCCGGCGCCACGTCCGACATATGTCCACGCTTGACGTCGTTCGAACTGGGGTGTCAACACATGAATCCGATCTCGTGGCATTGGTGGCATCGCGTCTTTGCCATGGCACGTTCCCGTTTCCAACAATATTCCAGCGCTCATTCGCGCCTATCGCGCCTCCGCATTTTCGGTCTTTCGTCGGACAATGTGGCCGCTCACATCAAAGCCTTGCAAAACGAAGGATTTGACGCGGTCCTGCTGGATCGCGACGATTTGAACAAGACTCTATTTTGAACGAGGCAAGTGTTTCTGGTCTATCTCTACAGTGACCCTGATGCACGTCCTTTTCTCCAGTTACGCCGCATCATATGTTCTCCTCCTCGACAACATATCTGTTCATATGTGAGGATTCAATCAGCCCGGCGGGATTGCGTGCGAGAATAACATAATTAACATGCGATCTTCCAGTGGCAGCGACCATCGATTTCATGATATATTCCTCGTTTCACTGTCGACTCGTGCCTTAGGATACTTAATTCTTTATCACCCAGAATTGAAAATCCACGTACCCGACGCTAAACTACCACTAGTGTTCGGCTGGAGACAGAAAATCTTTCCATGATTCAATCATGAGTAGTTGGACTTCATTTGTGAAGACCGTCGTCTTCGTTCCAACTTACCATCCGATCCTACATCTCCTACATCGAAATTGGGCGCAGTGCAGCTCTCGTGGATAGCTACTACACCCACCACATTACAAGCTGCGGGTGGAGGTGCACTGCAATCTTTTTTTCTCGTTCTTTTGTCCGTTGCATTGCCATCAGCGAAGCTCAAGCCAAGAATCAGTGGACGGCGACTCGAAGCAGCATTCAGGTTGAGACTGACGCGCGTTCATGGATTGTTCCTTCCCCTCATTTGTGTTCCGACTCCTGCCTCACAAAACAATCCAGATACGCTACATGTTGGAGCTGCGAACATGAACCACAGAAGGAATGCAGCCTACGCCTATACGCACTCATTCTCAGTCTCAGATCCATTGCTCGTCAAATACAGCCAACACTGCATACTTGCATACTTGCAACTACCTACCAGACAGACATGTAATCTGCTATATCCTCACAGGATTTCAAGCCCCGGCGGATCTCGGTGGATTTTTCGCTTTGAATCTAGTTCAACATGCTTGAGCGGATGACGCGGGATCGCTCCTGGCCGGGATGTAGTATATACCTAGATTGTGGGAGCACAATTTTTTCTCTTTGCTTACGCCTTTCATCTAGATCCCCCCTGGGCGTGCGCAGTTATGAAGTATCTTGTTTCTGTGGTATTGTACAAATCGTTCCTATTGCCACAAATTTCTATTGCCACAAATTTCAACTTCAGCATTCCGTTTAAAATTGAAGTCATCCACTGCAGTCCGACAGTTTGCATGAACAACAGCTGCACCGCGAGTACATGTAGTTCGGCAGAATATAACCGCCGTCTGGGTCACTAATACTAAAACCAAATCGAAGCGAAACTGAGACTTATAACCAACTTATCATGCCCTGGCTGATCGGTTGGTAGATCCTCCGCGTCAGGTATCACCGCTATCTCACTTCAGCGCATATCCCGCCTGAGCCATGAAGTGTGTGGGTCTGCTTTTTCTTTTTCTTTATTTATTTCTCGTGCCTGCATGTCAAGTTTCAGTAGGTTTCAACTTTGTGTCATACTTGTAGCCCTGGTAGATCAGTTGGATGATCATCCGCTTTCAGTGTTGGGCATCAATTAAGTCTCAGCGGACGATGCGGGTTCAAATCCCGCTTGGGGCATGCACATTGCTGGGTGGTTTTTGCTCCCTCGTCCACGCACGAGAGCGAGAGACTCATCACACATCGCAATTCGGCGGCGAATCACGCCTGCTACGCCAACCAGCACTTTTAAGTTTCAACAGGATTGCCTCGCCTCGAGGGTTATTTCCCACGAGTCGGCATTGAGAAACTACAGCGCCGTGCACCCAGCGCCACCAAGCCCCAGTAGAAGATTCTTCGCTCGAAGTGCAGGGGACCGTTGTACTTCAGCGGACGACGCGGGTTCGAATCCCTTCTAGAGCGTTAGAATAGTCTGATAGTTTTGCTCTGCCTTTTGTCCGTCCACTCACGCAAAAATTATTGTGGTGAGGGCAAGCACTGCTCAACGCTCTTGGGTAAACAACTTTGAAGAAAGATGCAAGAAATCATGTTGCAAAGCGAGTGCTGTGCTAGAAATACAGTACCTTATTCAACGATCGACCTCTAGAGACTCCGTAGAGAGCACGGTCCAAAAAACGAGTCCCGAACCACAGGCCACAGCAGACCCTACCCAAATGCATCCCTCGGCTTAGAGCGGCGTACTCGAGAAAAAATATGGGTGCGTGTGCACGCTGCTCGACCCTGAACCCGACCCCGACCCCGACCCTGACCCAGCTGAGCCCGCCGTGGAGGCGGACGCAGCGAGGTGCAAAGCGCGCGGGAGACGCGTGCCAAGTGCGCGGCGCTTGCAGTTGCTTGTGCACGGGAATCTGGCTTCGATCTACCGCATGCGCTTGGGCTGGCGCTGGCGCTTGACTTGGGGCGGCGGCGGCGGCGGCGGTGGAGACAGCGGCAGAGGGAGAGGTGGAGGAGGAGAAGAGGAGGGCACGGCGGGGGAGTAAGACGCAAAGCGCACGGCGCTTGCGGTTGCTCGGGCACGGGAATCTGGCTTCGACCCGCTTGGGCTGGGGCTGGAGCTAGCGCTTGGGGCGGCGGCGGCGGCGGCGGTGGAGGCGGTGGAGGCGGCAGGTGGGGAAGATGCGGAGGCGTCCGCAGGAAAAGAGGAGGACACGGCGGGGGAGAAAGAAGACACAAAGGACGCGGTTTGAGTGACGAAAACGACGCAGTTACCGAAGCGGTGGTGGCCTCGACGGACTGTGGGGACGCGAGTCAGTCCTGCGATCGGACGAGGGAAGAAGAAGACGAAGGAGAGAGGAAGCGAGAAGGGAGCGGTGATGAACGGAAAAGGGAGGGTAGAGTGGGGAGCGAGGGAAAGGAGGTGAAAGAGCGGGACAAGAGAAAGTCGAGGGAAAGACACTCACGCGCAAGGTGACACCGATTCCCGTCCACACCACCGTGCAAATTGTCCCCGCGGGGAGGGAGAGCGCGACGACGCGCGTACCGTCGGTCTCAGGATTCTAAGGGCGGGCATCAGACGAGGCATTGAAAGAACTACAAAGATGAGACGCACGGCTGCCATCCTTAGTGACTTTCGCTGCGCCAAAGTTGTCCGTCCCAGTCGTGTCCACGAGCACCGAAACTGAGCACGAGCCATCGACAGCGGCGGACTTGCGATGCTGCCAGTAAGATTTTGACACACGCTACGTGCCGCTGCGCTTGGGGTCCCCAAACACGCCGAACACGGGGGTGGCCTTTGGGTGTAGGTTGACATGCACCGTGAGTGCCAGGAGATCACGAAAGTGTTCGATGGTACGCATATTCAGCGGGAATGTGGTGTTTCTGGATCGTCAGTTTTGAATCCCGCGAGTGCCAGCACGATCAGCGTCGTCGACCACGGCGGACTTGAGGATCGCAAGAAACATTATCGTCGCTGGAAATCGGAAGACACAATTCAGGAGATCTGGCGGGCAGCGAGTGGACAGGGAGAATAGCGTTCGAGGTCACGGTGAGGACGTGGAGGATGCGGGTCGGGAAGAGCAGGGCGCCATCAATGATCAATGATCACCCCGCCACGTGTCCATCAAAACCGTTCCTCGTCCTCCACCAGCCTTGCTTCGAGTAACTAGTTGCTTCATCGTGTTCTCTCCACAGTGCCTCCGAACAAGTTTATGCATGCTGCCGAGGAATGTTGGGCGCACCGAGGTTTTTCAAATGTCTTTGGGCACCAGCACTCAGTCAGCTGCGCATCTTTTCGCTCTATCAGTAAAGAAGCAGCGCAAACAGGATGACGAAGGGATGCTCTGGAGTCCGTCCGCCTGGCTGGCCGATCGTTGATTTTCTTGGGGGGCCCAGCGGACCGCACTGCTTGCTGTGACGACGCTAAAAGTGCCGACTGAACCTTGCCCTCCATATTCTCAAGGCGTATCAGCGTTCTCAATCGACGTGCGTGCGCAAGTAGTCCTCACCGCCGTGCCTAATTCGATTCTCTGGATGTAAATGCCCGTGCACAGTCTCACTGCGGGAAGAGGTCTTGCTGCTCATGGCCAAATCGAGGCGTCGGAAATGCAATGAAAGACATGCCCTTGACGTATGGAAATTCGCCGGCATGTCGTGGTTCTGTGTCTCGCTTCTCGCTGACTCCTCGTAGTCCCAGTTGTCGCCGTACGTCTGGCGCTTGCATTTCGCGTCGGAATCCGACTTTAGAATCGCATCGCCCGACTTCAAGAAATAGCGCCTTCGCGGGCGCGCGCGGTGGTCGTACCATCTGAATGTACCTTTACCTTGCCCAGTGGCTCGGTCTGATGCTGGATTTATGTATAGCTCTACTGTCTCGAACGCCACCGTCCCAAACTCCGTCCCCGCGTCACTCGCCGCCCTCCTACATACGAGCTTTCTTGTTAGAGCGTCTGTCTACAAGAGACTACTGAATTCCTCCCGGGAGGAGATCTTGAGACAATTTTGGCTCTTTGGTCGCAGTATCTATCGGCCTGGAATATCAACTCTTACCTTGTCCTCAAGTCGCGGAACAGTCATTGTCGGTCAATTCCAGTCAATTCTTACTCGTGTTGCCGGACTCAGACCAATCTCGAACTCACCACATCTGGGGTTGCAACGTGCAACGCCGTCTCGTTCAAACTGGCGCTGCCGGTGCCTTTCCCGTTCATAATTTGCTCATGACTGTCGTACAACGCGCCAACAACAGCTCACTGCGCTGACTCAACCACATACGGTAGCCTCAGGCAGACCGGATCGCGCAGGTTTTCTGGCTTGTTTCCGGGGACTTGTTTCTATCCCCTCCTTCCAACTCCTTCAACCGCCTTTTTAAAGGTTCACAAGCTGGCGCGCGGCTTTTCCCGACTATCGTAGCCGGACATTGTCTATCCATGCACTTGCGGATAGTTCGACCCTTCTGCTGATGCACGCAGCAGCTTAAACCGCCGCTGTGCGGTTCCTTCAAGCTGCTTCAACTTGTTCGCGCGACGATGCAGACCCGTGGAGGCTTGCTCGCAGTCCACCTAGCTCTCATTGGCTTTCAGGGATGGATCGGTCCATCCGTGATTCCGATTAGCTTCTACTCTCATCAGAAGCCTCCTCGTGGTCTGACGGGCTGGTTCGTTGAGAGATTTTGAACCGATCCCTACCACGCCCATTATTATAGATCTACTTACACTGTACAGTCCTCAAAATTCACCTGAACTTTATCTATCTGAACTAATACTAGTACCCTCAGGCTGCTCATCCTAACTCGCAGGGCTCGGCAGTACCGCGTGCGCTTGAACATCCCGCAGACATTTAACCGGCGAGGCGGGCTCTTGTATACCGATTACTCGATGCTGGTGTTCGCGGGACTCGAAATGCTCCGGGGAGCGCCATCTACAGTAAGTAGAGATAACATCAGACTCAACAGCTGTTCACTGCCCACTAAATCGACGCTGACTCCCAATGTACCTGCGGATTTCCATCTGGTGAGCCAGTTCTGGCTCGTCGGTGCTGCGTGCCATCATTTCTCGCTGGCTCCGAATTCTAGGCTCACTCATGATGGCAGTGCTAGGGTGCTGTTTAATGATTCTGTTTATAAACCGGTTTATAAACAGCTGTTTATAAACATGGTTTTCAATCTTTTGGTCAAACCATTGGTTTAAAAAGATTTGTAGGGGGGAAACTGGGACCAAATCAACATCCGAAATCGCATTTTCCTGGCCGAATTTGGTTCCGCATACTAATCTGCCGGATAGAAATAATCATGGAGGGAAATTATACCAGTGAGCCAAGCTCAAAGCCCCTGAATAAGCGTACCGTTTCCAGCGACGACCAGGATATGTAGATTTTGCAGCTGTAGTTGGCTGTAGACATCCTCTGAGGTTCCTAAAGTCTGGAGCAAGCCCTGTGGTTCTATTTCAAGGACAGTGAGCGAAAAATGAACTTTACCGCCCGTCTACACGCCGAGAAAGGAATTTTGGCACCTGGTTTATAAACATGTTTATAAACAGCCTGTTTACAAACCAAAAATTATAAACCGTTTATAATTCGCTGGGAATAATGAACAGGACCCTGCTTGAATGGCGAAACTAAAGGAGCTCAACGCGCTTTTTCAACATGCCCCACCATGCGGTAAGTAACTCTTGCCCATTGGACCCCGTTTAAGCCGTCTTGAAATAAACAGCGTGGTCAGTTGCGGAATGATTGGATGACCGGACGTAAAAAAATCCCACGTGAAGCGTGGTCTTCAAGGCATGTTGGTTTTGGAAACCATAATGTATCTTCGATGCCCGTGGACATTCATCTCTTGAAATTGGCGCCTGTTTTGTTCTGATTTGCGGTTTGCTGAGATCGATTGAACTCCGAGTCGAATTGGTTGTCGCGCATGTTCCATGTTCATTCATATACCTGTTGCATGCGCTACCTTGTTATTTGTCGTGTTCGAGTTATGTTCAACTTTTATGCAAAGTACGATGTTCGCCCGCAGGAATTTTCTTGGGGGCCGGTTTGTGCCTTGGCACCCTGATTGATGCGCTCGTTTGCTTGACAATTACGAAAGTTGGTGAAAACCTGGTTCATTTTTGCGGGCCATCAGGGTTTTGTGTTCGCGTGTTTGCTTGATATCTCCGGTCTCCTGCTTCCGTCCATCATCATCGAATGCT